TTGAATCGAGATTCATTGTTATAGATCGCAGTGTTTTTCATAATGAATATCGATTCACTCTAATGAATCACGATTCACTCTAGTGAATAGAGATACATCCAATGAATCGCGATTCACTCTAGTGAATCTTGATTCAATGCAGTGAATCTCGATTCACTCGAATAGAGATACATCCAATGAATCGCGATTCACTCTAGTGAATCTCAATTCAATGCAGTGAATCTCGATTCACTCAAGTGAATCGAGATTCACTACATTGAATCGAGATTCACTAGAGTGAATCACGATTCATTGGATGTATCTCTTTTCACTAAAGTGAATAACTACTTAGTGAATCGAGATTTTTATTCACACAAACATAGAGAATCTCGATTCACTAATTATATGGTTTAATTTCACTATTAATATACATAAACCATAGATGGTTTAATTAGTGAATCGAGATTCACTGCATTGAATTTAACCATATATACTCAAATTAGTGAATCGAGATTCACTGTTAATATACATAAACCATATATGGTTTAATTAGTGAATCGAGATTCACTGCATTGAATTTAACCATATAAACCATATGTACTCAAATTAGTGAATCGAGATTCACTCCAGTGAATCCAGATTCATTGCGATGAATCCAGATTCAGTATATAAGAACATAGCCGTATTATTTATGTTCTTTTATTTTCAGTTGTAGGCAGCAATGAACAAATTAAGGAACCACATGTTATAAATGCATCGGACAGTGATTTTTTGGAAGATGGAATGGACGAAGTTAGCTCGATTCCTTTTGAATCACCAGGTGGTGGTATGTATTGGAAACCTCGGGTTGAAGCCGAATTTAAACCTTATCTAAACCAAAGCTTCCGATCACTAGAGGATGGTATAGAGTTTTACCGAGAGTATGGACGTAAAAGTGGGTTTGAGATCAGACGGCATACAGAGAAGAAACATGAGGACGGTACAGTTCTTCTTAAACACATTGTTTGCAGTAGAGCTGGCAGCAATGAATCAAAGATGGATGTTGATTTTGATGATTTTAGTAGCAGTTTGAAAAAGAGAAGGAGAACTGTATCTAGTAGATGTGGTTGCAAAGCTAAAGTCGTGTTTAAGTTTGATGGTTTGAAAGGATATAATGTTCTCTCATTTGTTGAAGAGCATTCTCATTTTTTGGTCTCCGGTAGTGGGAAACAATTTTTGAAGTCAAATAGAGTTCTCGGTCTCGCACATAAGAAACTTGTATTTGATGGAGCAAAAGCCAACATGGGGCCTAACAAAACATATAACTTTGCTAAGGAGTTGTGTGGAAGTTATTCTAATGTTGGTGCTACCTGTACCGAGTTTAAAAATTGGAGTAGGGATGTGAAGCTTTATATTGGTGATCGAGATGCTCAAATGATCATCGAGAAGTTCACGGATAAGAAGGAGATGAGTGATGGATTTTTCTATGATTATGCAGTTGATGAAGGCGGTCGATTAACTCGCATCTTTTGGGCAGATGTTATTGGGCGAAGAAATTACGATGTATTTGGAGATGTGATATCATTTGACTCTACATATTCCACAAACAAGTAAGATTTTATAGTTAATCTCTTACGATTTTCAATATTGTAATTATATATCATAGTGAATCTTATATTTTTTGTATGTGATACAATAGGTACAACATGAAGTTTGTTCCATTTACTGGTCTCGACAATTATAAGAAGTGTGTTGTATTTGCAGCAGGATTGATAGCTAAAGAGGACATTGATAACTATGTATGGATTTTTGAGGTATTCATGAAATGCATGATTCGCGAGCCAAAGTGTATTGTTACAGATCAGTGCCCTGCCATGAAGCAAGCTATACCAACCGTCTTTACAGAAGCACGTCACCGTTTGTGCATGTGGCACATCATGAAGAAATTTAACCAAAAGGTAATGAATCATGCATTCAAATATAATGAATCCTCATTAGATAAATACTGAATCTTTCGTTATATATTTATATTGTAGTTGGCAAAATGCATTTCGAAGATGGATGATTTCAAGAGGAAAATAAATGCACTGATTTGGAGTATAGATATAGATCCAGCAACATTTGAAGTCGGTTGGAAAGATGTTATGAAAGAATATAAGCTTGAAAGTCATGAATGGTTGTGTGAACTGTATAACATTCGGGAGTCATAGATTCCAGCCTATTATGCTGATGATCCCATGGCCGGTTTATTGCGGACTACATCAATATCAGAGAGTGAGAACAGTTTCTTTGACAAATTCAACCGTAGATCTGACACATTAACGGAATTTTATCTCCGATACGAGAGTGCTATGGAGAAGCAAAGTCATACAAACGCAAGATTAAACTATAAAGGAACGAAAACGATGCCAAGAATGGACACACCATTGTTATTGGAGAGGGATGCAGCAGAGTTGTACA